GTTCAATACGAAGATATACACCTGATGCTATAGAAGGTTTATATATGGTTCATCATGATTTCGTTGCTGTTAGTGTTGGGGATGTTGGTGTTAAGGTTAGTTGTGTTCCATGTAGGTTTCTTATAAAAAAACCAGATAAAGATTTGATTATTAAGAAAAAACTGTTGGTGATATGGTGATAGAAACTAACGAGCGTTTGATTAATGTTTATTTTTAATAGGGGCGTAAGTTAGTATTTAACATAATTTAAACATTTAGTTGTAAAAGTTTAGTTTTATAATGTCGTTTATTTTTACATGGGTGAAGGATTAGATAAGATTGCTAAAAAACTGAACAAGGTTTTAGAACAGAATAAGAATATGATAAAAAATCTTAAAAGAAATGGGAAAGAAGATACCATGAACAAACAATTGTCAAGCGAAAGAAGCAGATAGAGACAGTAGCGAATATAAAAATACACGAAACATTTATGTTAAACAAACTTAATGAAACAATCAAGTCTGGATTGCTATCAAGTCAAGTATATCGAAGAAACCAATAAATACGTTTAATCATTAACTAAAAACATTCGTGTCTCAAAAGTGGTTTGTTTATTTCTGCTACTTTGTAAACCCATAATATCATATTCAATCTTATCAACATTGAATATTTTATTACTCCAACGACTGACATACTCCTTTCTGTCGGTGTAATTACCCCTTTTCTTTTGAAACACTTTTACCTTATCGTTCTCCTCTATTCTGGGATACTTTCTTTTGTTCTTTTCTCGTAGTTTCAGATTGACCTTTACATTTATTTCGTTGTCGTCCTTTTGTGCTTCGGTTGGTGTCATCCTTGTTGATGAGTGTAATGTGCTGTTATACTGGTACAATGCTGGTGTTAGGGCATCGGTCCATTTCATGTTGTTAACCTAACTCTATCGTGAATTTTGTTTTCAGCGTCCTAATAAAACGCTCGGCTACATGTGCGTGGGTCTTTGTTTTTAGGTGTGTTGTGCCTTCACTTTCAAAAAACTTTTGGACATTGTTTTTGTTAGCGAAAGCGCCATCGTCATCAGAATACACCGACATATTATAACCCATTCTTTTAAAGCTCTCTCTAGCATTCTCAGCACTTTCACCATCTCTATTGAATGTAGGTACTACATCCGCAAGTTTTCTGAAAATATCAGTCACAACTAAAGCAAACTCTGGTGTGTCTTTATCCTTAACAAGCGGTGTCATGTGCATTATGTCTATTTGATATTCATATCTGGCAAACGGTGCGGTATAGGAATTAGTGCCTCTGTAGTTCTTGATTTGTTTATTGGGTTGTTCTTTAAGAAAGACTTAGCACTCTCTAATGTTATGGTTGCGTCTTGTTCCTTTGCACAGAATCCCGGAAAGAAAAAAACAAGCCTCGTTCGCCCGACTGATTATTTTTTATTTATTCTGCTGCGCATCGCCAGTCCTACTTGCGTGCTCGCGTCAAGCCGGGAAGGGTGGGGGAAGGAGACAAAACGGCGGATGAGTGCGGAGCACATGATTGTACTACAAAAACTCTCACAGCTCAAATGGTATTCACTGCACGTGAGTGCGACCCACATCGTGCCTCCCAAAGAGGCGGGATCCTGGCCTTCCAGTCTCACGCACAAATCCCCCCTTGGGGACTGTGCGACAGAAAGGATTGGGTGGGCGGGACAAAAGCCAGGCACTACCAAAATTGAGGGGATTCCCCCCCTACCTCTCCCAGCCAGAGCTGCGAGTTGTCAGCTCACGCACGAGACCAATCTCAATGCAACACCAGGTTGCAAGCATGTGGTTGACAGCACCTATAATTCAAACGTTGTCCGGTTTGAATCATAAAGTCATGGCTTCATAAAGAAGCGCGTGCACGTAAGGCAACACACGAAGCAAACAAACCATTTACGTGCGCAGCCCCACAGAAAACATCATCCCGTCATTCTCCTCCCCTATCCATTCCACCAATGGCACAAACATAGGCAAGCCAAGGTAGCAAGAGAGGACAGGTGGCACCCCACCAGTGGCGTGTTAGCAGAATAAAGCGCGAACACTAAAGTGAAAGGCTAACTTATTCTGCTGCACATCGCCAGTCCTACTTGCATGCTCGCGTCAAGCCGCGCACAATTAACAGGGAAGGGTGGGGGAAGGAGACAAAACGGCGGATGAGTGCGGAGCACATGATTGTACTACATAAACTCTCACAGCTCAAATGGCATAGCACATTTTTTCGCTCGGGGATATTCACTGCACGTGAGTGCGACCCACATCGTGCCTCCCAAAGAGGCGGGATCCTGGCCTTCCAGTCTCATGCACACATCCCCCATTCAAGCTGCGTGGTCTGAATAGTCTGGAGTCACGCTGCATCCGCTGGGTTGGATGCGCTGGGCACTCGAGAGTACCAGTTCCACATTTGGAACTGCGTGTCAAGCCTGGCATTGCATCTCAGGAGGCTCAACGTGTCAAGGCTAGGGGAATATGAACGCACCAGACTTGCTTTGACACCTTCATTGTCTATAAAAGACGAGGATCTTTCTGTCCTCCAAAAGCCGAGACCATGTCCTTTTTGCAACCACAACCGGAAGTAACTCAGCCTGGGCAATCAATTGCTTGGAGCCCGTGGCCGACCATTGTTGTGCAAGAAGTGCGGGGACATGGTCACCAAAGTATTCTCGTATTCCATGGTGTGGATCGAACAGCAACGCTCCATTGAAGTTCTGCTTTTTCCAGTCCTTCTTCAGGAATGTCTTTATTTCTCATAAATTGTTCTTCTTCATCCAACAAATGCCAACAATCAAAACATGTTGTTTTCATATAGCCTCCAATAAGATTACAAACATTAACAGGTAAAACATTTGCTTGTGGTACAACAGACTTACAGTGTTTATTTTTACAAGGACAATGATCATAATAAAACAGTGTCATTTTTCTCTTCATATATATATATATCCATTTTTTAAGTAGGTTTTATTTCATGTTAAGGGGTGGGGTTTCTGTTGATACAACTATTTTCTAACAATTTGACATAATGGCGAGACTAACGAAAGACCAAGCATCAGCAACATCTATTCTGACTTAGACGAGGGTTTCGGAAGCACACAAGCGACGCACTAAGAATTGTTAAAAAAATTGCAAAATAATCATATTACACATTTAACAGGGTACCATTATGATGTAAAACAATACAGAAAAGCATTGACACAATATTTGATAAACAAGAGGTTAAGGAAAGACTTAAGAATAGGACAATGTATTTCCAAGCAATGAAATCATACTGTAAGAACAATGAGAGAGAAGTAATTCTCGTTTTACAACATTGCTTAAAGTTGAAGAATTAAAGCATTGGAGACAAAATGGATTTTGCTTTCCAAATGTAAACAGTTGGTGGTCAAATAGAAATAACAATTGTTATATGAGAAGCATATTAAGCGACTTAACTGAAATTTACACAGACAAGTTAAGAAACGGATACGAGCATTATTGTTGTGAGTATAGTGTGAGTTGTTATAGTGGTTGTATCGCTGGTGAGATTGAATACGGGACAAACTAAGTGTTGTTTATTCATCTTATTTTATTCAGTTGCAATATGATTAAACAATGTTTTATAATCTAACAAGAAGGTTAAGACATTTAAATTAAACCTGAAACCCAGAACAGCCGACCAGCAACCCCCGCCCAACACTACTTAAAGAAAAAGCGCCTTATATAGTAAGAGAAAAATGTGTGATGGCAAAATGTCTGAGAATAATTTATGGTTGAGAATTGGACTAACTTACCTGAGGATACAGTGTTAAGCATCACTTCTTGTATGTTTGGTGAAGGGTGGCAAAGACTGAAACAGTGTGAAGCATTAAGGGTCTTACAAAAGGAAATGGAAACCGTCTATTTACACTGAACGAGCAGGAGAAAGTAGATATTATGCTTTGATTAGCAATAAATGTTTGAAAGGTGATAAAGCGCTTTCACATGCGTTGAAACCACCAAAAGAGTTATTAAGAATGATGAAGTATGATGATGAAATACAGGTTGGAATAGAAGTTAGTTCAAAAATTGTGCAGAAAAGTATTTGCAACAGTCGTTCTTATTTGTTGTCTAAACAGAATAAGATAACAAGTAGGGCGGCGTTACAGTTTTGTATTGAAAAAATCGTTGAAGAAATAAAACAGACTATGAAACGACACGAACTCATTACAATGGGCAATATAACAATTGAAATTTGTGAGCATACGTGTTAATTTACTATTGTTTTAATTATAATATGATTAAACTTTGTAAATCTTTGTAACCTTTCATGATACTATAATTTAATTTTTAACAAACTTTCAATAGCAAAAACGATGTCAAAACACATGCACCACCAACACCCCAGAACATGATAACAACTTAAAGGTTAACGCTTTCAACATAACAATCATTTCACCCATTAGCCCAAACATGAAACAAGAAATGAAAACATTATTATTTAAAACGAATAAGGTTGTGTAATTGTAAAATTTTAACTACTCAAAGAAGACCCCCAACAACTAACCCTCACCCCCCGGCCCCAGCCTTTTTACCATTTTTTGGGGGTTCAGAGCAACGATGACTTGGCTTATGAAATTCGAGAACCTAATGGTTGATGTTTTGAAGGGGATAGAAAGCTCTGGTGTTGCTTCGTGGTGCTTCGTGGTTTTCTATATGCATGTCCATCCTTCCGTTCGTACGCGCGCATGCACGCACGCAAGTGTGCACGCACGTACACATGGACTTACCTACGTATATACGTACATCCTTGCATAGGTGCATGCTTACGGGCAAGACATAGCCATGCTGCCCCCACCTTATGCGTTCATTTGCACGTACACACATGCATACAAGTTAGTCGACAGTGGGCGCATGTCTTCCAAGTTGATGTCCGCTAGCCCCCCAAACTGAACACGGTACTCTTCATATAGTGGCTATATAGTGGCTCTGTATATCCAATTGAACTCTGGGGGCATTGTAGACCCTTTGACATTTGAGGTTTGAGCGTCCTGCAGGGCGAATGCCATGCTGATGCCGTGGCATGCCGCCTGCATCTCACGCTGGCAAGCCTGCCCTTCGGCAAGCAAGCACGGCCGCCCTGGGACGTGGCAAGACAGCTTCTGGAATACGGCCGCAAGAGGCGTGGCGCAGGGTGTGGCTGGCTGAAAAGCTGCATGGCGTGACACGCAGAAACTGGCGCACCGCGACACTGTGGACAGACACAAAAAGAAACACGCACACACACACAGACGCACACTCCGTACACACTGCGTACACTGTATACACAGACTGGCATGCAGACTGCGGACAGTCTGTGACGCTGTGACAGGCACTTGGTCTCATCGGCCTGCGCCTTGTCTCCACAGCAAGAGCTGGTGCTCCACGCCCTGCCGGAGCTCGAGAGCGTTCTGTGCACGCGGCGCCAGATGCTGAGCCAACTCCTGGCCGGGACCCCAATGCGCTTCGTCAGTTTGGTGCGGCCTGAGATTGATTCCAAAAAAACAAACAACAAGTTTTGAGTGATTTGATCTTTTCATCGTTTGGGGTTTTGTGGCTTTGCGCAGGCCTCTCACTCCAGTGGCAACCAGAAATCTGTGGTGGTGCCTTTGGGTCCTCAATTGGAGGATGCTGGTTTCGATCGTGAGAAGTACCGGGATCTTCTGGGCGAAGTTGGGCTCTTCACGAGGATGGCCTGCTCCATGCAGGGTCTCACATACAGCAGGCCCGGACTTCTAAACTGGTTTCAGAATCACAACCCGTTTGCGCATGCATGCGAGAGCAGGCAAGGGCAAAGCCATGTTTCTGAGGCCAGAGGGCGATCGCCCGGTGCTGGAAGGGAGCGCGGCCTTGAAATTTCTGAACGGCCTATTTGGAACCCGAGGTCTGGCTTTCAAAGGGAGTTTCTTCCTATTATATGAGCTCTTTACCGGAACGCTGGAGCTGAAGATTTTGCCGGAGGACCAGTCCAGCACTTTGGCGTCCTGCCTGCTGCGGCTGCTGGACAGCGCCACGCCCATGGAGTGGGCGGTGCTGCGGTCCCTGGACTCCACCCCGGAGATCCGCGCCGAGATGCCGCTCTGGGGCTCCGCCGCTGCCAAGCGCGTCTGGCAGGCGGTGTCACTTGGGATGGGAAGTCTGAAAGAGAAAACATCAAATGCGTGTTTTGGAGGGCGGATGGGGTCTGGGAGGTTGACGGGATGGCAGGTTGGAGCCTTGCTGAAGTTCGATCATGACTCTGCTTCACGGCTGCTGCGAAGCGCTGTGAAGCACTTGAACCAGAACCATCGGTATTTGCAGCCCGTGAAGGCGTTCCCGGCCTTCCAGCTGGCGGACGGCACCTTGGTCATTGACCCCAACGACATTCATCACAGAAGGCTGTGGTCACCTCCATTGACTGCCGATGTGAACTGCGCCAGCAGAGGATTCAGCGCCACATGTCCGTCGCACCAGGCTTTGGGCTCCTGTCCCCTGACCCACAGGGTGGGTGAGGCCGAGCCACCGACTTCGGCTAAGGCCGAGCTGGAGAGCGCTTTGCAGAAGCTGCGCGGGCCGCACGCGGATCCCAACTTCCGGTTCACGTCTTTGGCCCCGGGCCAGCGGACGCTGCAGCGCCTGCTGGGCGAGCTGGCGGAAGCTCCGGCCCCGGCGGCCCCGGCGGCGAGCGGCGCCGGCCCCGCGCTGCGGGCCCAGGCCGCCGCGGACCTGGCGGGGGCGGCGGAGCGGGCGCAGCGGGCCCAGGCTGCCGCCCACTGCGGCGGGGCTGCGGCCTGGCTGCGTCGCCGCTGCGGCACCGCGCCGCGGCTCAGCTTCCCCGCGCTCGTGGCGGCCCTGATGGCGCAGGACCTCTTCTCAACTTCTCCCTGTCGCAGACTGAACATAACTTGTTCTCTTCTGAAACTCCTTCGAACTTGTTCTCTTTGGGCTCTCTCTTTGCAGGAGCCAGAGTGCAGCGACGCGCTATGCCGGGCCAATGAGGAGCTGCGGGAGCAGTCAATCCGCGGCATTTTTGAGGACGTGGCATTATCGCTGGCTCTGCTGGTACGCGCAGGGCAGGCCACCCGTGCGGCTGAGAAGTCCGAGGATCTGGAGAAGCTGAAAGAGAAGACTTTGGCAAGTCGCTTTGAGCAGCCTGCGAAGGCGGAGGAGCTGGCACGGTCACAGGCTTCACGGGCACTGAGCGAGGAGCTGACAGCTAAGAGGCACCATGCGAGATGCTCAGAGTCCTCTGTGGTCTTTGATCCCCGGCTCCTGGTCTTCGAGTTCCTCTTCGACATCATGCTGCGGGAGACCCAGGTTCGGACGCTGGGTGCTTTTCTCAAGAGTGCCAGGGCGGGACAGGCGATGTGCCACCAGATGATCATGGGAGACGGCAAGACCACTGTGATTGCTCCGCTGCTGGCGCTGATCCTAGCAGATGGCTCCGCCTTGGTTTGCTCCTGTATGCCGGCGGCGCTGCTGGAGATGTCCCGGTCAGTTCTGGCCAGGTGCTTCTCGTCCCCTGTGGCGCCAAAGGCGGTGATCACCTTTAAGTTCGGCCGCACCTCGCGAGCAGACCAAGGGCTTTTCGAGAAGATGGAGGCCTTGAGACGGTCGGGGAGGGGTGTGTAAAAGAGAACTTGCAATTTAGCACAGGCCTCCCTTTACGGATGTCAGGCTGCCCGGAGCAGCCGCGCGGTGGTGGTGGCAGATCCCAGCTCCTTGAAGAGCTTGCTGCTGGGCTTATTGCAGACGCTGAGCCAGCTCAGTGAGCTGGGGGAGAGCTGGTGGTCCCCACTCCCAGAGCAGCGAGAGCTGGAGACGGAGGCCCGCGTGTCCAGCCGTGTGCTGCACATGTTCCACCGTGGGGTCTTGCTGCTGGACGAGGCAAGCAAATCCATTTTTCCTATTTTTCCAACCAGCGTGTTCCCAACAATCCATGCATGTTTCGTGCACGTTCCTGCGAGGTGGATCTGTTGCTGGACCCTCTGAAGAGCGAGCTAAATTGGCCCATGGGGGAGAAACGGGCCATCGACCTCATCGAGCCAGAGCTTGGGGCCGCCTGTCTCCGTGGCCGGCTGCCCTTCCACATCTTGGACGCCATCTTCGCCACGGCCGCGAGGGCCCCAGGAGAGAACGCTGAGGGCTCGATGCGGGCGATGCGGAAGGCGACGGTGCCCTTCTCGGACCGCCAGGAGGCAGTGAGGTGCCTCTCGCGGCTAGCGGCGGAGCTGGCTGCGGGCCACGAGAAGCGGCGGGTCCGGCTCTCCCCGCATTTGGTGCTCCAGTCCCAGAGTGTCTCGGAAATTGCACGAAATTGCACGAAATTGCGTGAAATTGGAATGAAGTGACTGAAGTGACTGAAGCGAATGTTGATTTAGGCTTCTACGAAGTGCACATGCTGCCCCTGCTGGTCGACTGGACTGCGTTCTTCCTGGAGGCCCACGAGGGTACCTTGGGGCCAGGCGCCCAATGCGCACCGATTTCGGAATTTTCGGGCACCAAGAGTGCGCCCCAAACACCCGAAGGCCGAATTCTGACGCATGAGGCTGTCGCCAAAGGAGCTGCGCCAGGCACTGCGGCGCCACCCAGGGCCCCAGCTGAGGCCGCAGTTGAGAGAAGAGGAACTTTCTGAAAGAGAGAAAAGGAGGGAAAGAGGGAGAGATGGAGAAAGGGAGGATACGCTTGACACTCACAGCACGCTAGCACTCAGCCGATGTTGCTACGCTTTTCAGGGAAAGTGGACCTTCAGCGCAGCTCTTCCACCTGGCAGTGCGTTGGCTGCATCAGCTGCTGCCCTTCATGCTGAAGAAGGCCGGCCAAGGAGGCGTCTTGGAGGTTCCCCCTGCCCCCAAAACTTCTGACAGTCTGATTTCAGGTCCACCGGGTCTCCTATGGCCTCCTCTCCAGCGAGTGGCTGCCTTGACCTTGTGCCATTCTTTTTACAGTCTCACATTCGGAACATGGCAGCTCTGTGTCTTGAGTCTCGGTGACTTACACAGTGACCTCACAAGGCAACTTGCCGAGGGCCCACCTTCACGGGCACTGTTGGCCGTTCCCTTTGTGGGAAAGGACCGACCCATCGATGCCCATCCGCGTCCGCATTGCTCCGCATTGCTCCGCTTTGCCACTATTTGCCACTATTTGCCACTATTTGCCACTATTTGCCACTATTTGCCACTATTTGCTCTCTGTGATTTGGGACTGGATGGGCTTGCCCATGCCGCCCTCAGGACCAACCAAGCGAGCATGCGGAGTTCTCCCACCCAGACGTACCGGGGCCGAGATGTGCGTTGGAGTCCGTTGGAGTGAGCGTGACTGTCAGTGCGCCTTGCGAGGTGGCCATCGGCTTCAGCATCATGGCTTACCGCCTGCAGGGCCTGCGGAGCAGTGACCTCGTGGCCCTGATCTCGGCCCTCCAGGCCTGATACCTTGCGGCACTGGGCCTCGAAGGCGCACGGACTCGGCCAGGCAGAGATGAAGCTGGAGAGCGGCCCCTTCCACCGCCGCGTGGCCAACCGGCTCTTTGTGAGGATTGTCATGGAGGCCGGAGATGGATATGGATGTGGTGTGTGTTTGTGGTTTTTCTGTTGAGTCTTTTTTTGAGGCTGGAGGACGTGTCCGAGGCTTTTCCTTGGATGGCCACTGGTTGGGGGACTCCAAGAGCCTGAAGATCTTTGAGGTGGAGCACAACGTGTTGCCACTGGAAGCGCTGGACATTACCGATGCCGAGCCTTGGTCCAAGGTGTTCCATCCGACCAAGTTATTCTTTTTGCAACTCTCTTCCGTTGTTTCCTTTCATCTTGCGATGTCGAAGGCTTCTTGCCAGCTTGAGGACCAGATGGCCCAGCTGGCGCTGCTGAAGTCGGAGCCGCTGGCTGTGGAGCACTTTCTGCTCAGCGTGCTGCAGCCGGGCAAAGGCACGGTGGACACCAGTGACCATCAGCTCACAGCGGCCGGCCAGGCGTGGAAGAGTGGGCTCTGGGGTGTGGTTCTGTGTGATTTTCGGAGATTGGAGAGTTAGGATCTCGCTGGAGAGCAGCTCTTCGGGCTTTGCCTGGGCTTCAGTGGCACGCCCAATGACCTGCTGCCACGGCGCCTGGGGCGTTGCTGCTACTCCCCGGGCGTGGACCGGCGAGTGCTCACAACCCTCAGCGATTCGGCCGTTGTGGACGTCCGGGAGGTGGCTGCCGATTGGTCGCCCTGCGCCCTGCTGGACATTGCGGCCTCAGGCTTTACCGCCTTCATCGACGTCGGGGCGCCTTGACTGAGACTTGAAGATTGGTCTCAAACTTTGCGTCGAGAATTGGGGTAGGAGCAGGGGCGAGCTTCGTCCAAGGCTCTCATCACGGGAATGAGCAACAAGGAGACGGCAGAGTACTTGCTCCGCAAGGGGCTTGCAAACTTCAAGGGGGTAGCCCTTCCGGCCTGTTGACATTTGTTGACACCTTGTAGCACATCACCCTTCGAAGCTCGAGACTTTCATTTTCCAAACTCTCAGCTGGCCATGGCCCGCCCAACATGGCAGGTGTTCTTGAACTCCGGCGGCGAGCGCTTGGTGCTGTTGCGAGATGGATGGCAGGCAAAGCCGAGCACTTGCATGCACTGTCCACGTTGCTTTTTAATTCCTTTGTAATGTGTTGCTTCATTTCCTTCATGTCCATTGTTCTTTTGCTGACCAGGTGGTGGACTTGGCGCAGTGCGGCCTGGCACCATGCCAGCGCTTCACCTTCTACGATCACGTACACACGACGGGCATGGACATCAAGCAGCCGGTGGGCGCTGAGGCACTGCTGACCATGAGCAAAGACACCACGCTGCGGGATTTCGCGCAGGGCGCCTACCGGATGCGTGGCCTGGGCCGGGGCCAGCGCATCAGTCTTCTGATCACCCCGGAAGTGCGTCACCTCATCGAGGAGTGCCAAAGCGCGTGCAAGCTCAGCCGTGGGTCCGTGACGCTGGACAGCTTCCTGCACCAGTCGCCCACCCGGGAGACCCGGCAAACGGATCTAGTGATCAAGGCGCTGGTGTGGTCCACAGCCAACGGGATCCGCCAGGAGTGCCGCAAGCAGACGCTTCTCTGCCAGCAGAATTTCCGGGACATCTGGCGCCGCAAGGCCCGGGCCGCGCTGGAGACCGTCTCCGAGAAGTCGGCGCTGGCGAAGCTCTCCGGCGCGTTGGAGGAGCTGCGGAGCCGGCCGCAGAGCGCGGCGCTGCCGCGCGAGGTGCAGCTGCCCGAGACGGAGACGCGCGCCACGGCGAAGCAGAAGCTGCTGGCCGAGCTCAAGGAGCGCAGCGGCACGGCCCAGGAGCTGGCGGAGGCGGAGGCGATCTTGGCCGAGTGCTGGGAGAGCGAGGAGCTGGAGCCGGAGGAGGGCTTGCAGGGCTTGGAGGGCGAGCAGGTGCAGGAGCAGCAGCAGGAGCAGCAGCAGGAGCAAGCGCAGGAGCAGGAGCAGGAGCAGGAGCAGGAAGAAGAACAGGAGGCAGAGGAGGAGCGCGAGCTGTTGCGCGAAGACAAAGCTGATAAGTTCTCACGAGCTGATGAAGGCCAAACATCCTGGCGCCTCGACTGTTTGAGCCGTGCTCCAACTGCTTCTGGCGCGCCGCCCTTCTATTCGCTCTCCGAGTTTGCCGTGCACCCCGGGCTGGGCGGAGATTGCCAGTTCCTGGAGATGCCGAGCTTCCTGATGGTCAGTGAGAACCACTACCGCAAGGCCAGGGCCGTGCGAGTCGAACGGGTCAAACGAGTCGAAGTCGAACGTTGCCAGGGTTGGAGGCTCGGCGCGACACGGAGGCTGCGAAACATCGTGTGCTTCTTGGAGCGCCTAAGCTGCGAATGCCCCAAACTTTCAAAGGACACGGGCTCAATAACTCAACAGCGGAAGTTCAGAAGCCACTGAGGTGGGTGCCCGACAAGAAGCAGTTGGCGCCGCTGGAGGTGCCCTGCGAACTGTCCGAGGAGCAGACAAATTGGCTTCGCCTGCTCTTCACCCTCACCACAGGGAGTGGGGCGAACGGGGCAATGCGGCAGCTTTGCGAGTCGTGCGGCCTCGAAGAAGGCCATTTGACGCCTGTGCCACTGGGCCGAAACCCTAAATGCCCCAGTCACAGTGCCCCAGTGAACCCAGTGCCACCTCAAAGAGCACTTTCAGGTCTTGTGACTTCCATGTTCTGCGAGACGCCCTGGCGTCCCAGTCCATCTACGCCTACCAAAGGGGCCGGCACTTCGTGGCCCTGTCGCTGGCTGAAGCTGAGCACTTACGAGCCGCACTGCACCGGATGGGCCAGGCTGGAAGCGCCAAGTCAAGTCTGTGCAGTGCTCATGGCCACCTTTTTGTCGAGAGCTCTTCTCTCTCAACGAAAGCAACGATGAAAACGGGAAGCGACCACCGAGTCTGAGACCATCGCAGACCTGTTTTTTCCTTCGCCTCCCTTCGCCTTTCGCCTTTCGCCTTTCCCAGGACGGGCTGCAGGACTGCGGCCTGGCGCTGCGGTGCCTCAGCTCGGGGCCCACGGTGCTGGCGGCCACGGGCCCCGTGGAGGCGCCCCATGCCTACCAGCTGCAGGCCATCGAACTCAACGCGTTTAAATCTGAGCCACTCCGAATTTCAACTCTCCATTTGTTCTTTGAATTTTGAGAAGTTCTGGAAGTTCTGGGAGGTGGCGGAGCAGTGCCTGCACTTTGCGAACTGCTCGGACGCGCAGCTGCGTGCCCCGGTGTTGCTGCGCGCGCTGCGTGCCTCCGACCCCGAGCAGCGATTCCGCTGGTGGCAGGGCCTGCGGCGCTGCCGGCGCCGGACGGCGCTGCCCTGGCAGCGACGACCCTCGCTGAGGGATGTCTTCACAGAGAAGCACGAGTTCAAGGAGAGATCCCTCTCGACTGCTCGACTCTTGTTCAAGTTCTGTTCTGTTCTGGATGCTCCCGAAAGCCTTAGGATGTTTCGAGAGGTGTCTGGATGGTTGAGCAAAGTCTGGAATGTTTTTGGAAGCTTCTGAAAGCAGGTTTCGGGAGGATGCTTCTGACAGTTTGTGGGTCCTTTCTGGATGCTTTGGATCTGTTTTGGATTTGTTCATGTTTTCATGCTTCTCCGGCCAGGATGGCCTTCACATCTCGCATGCCTGCAATTATGTTATTCTCTCCAAGCCCAGCAATTTTGCTGAATGCTCTCATACTTGGCTCGTCATGAGGTCTCTTGCTCTCTGCAGCGCTTCCCAGTTGCTTGGCCTCGACTCCTGCCTGGATCTTGTTTTGGTTGTCTGTGGCTGGTTTTTGAATTGTGTGTACTCTTTGTTTGGGTGTTTTGTTTGTTTGTTTGTTTGTTTGTTTGTTTGTTTGTTTGTTTGTTTGTTGGTTTGGGCTGTTTGTTCTGCTGTTTCGGCGGCCGCTGCACTGGCGGACGCTTCTGTGGCTCTTTTGATCTACCTTGGTGATGCTGTTCTGATTCTGGGCATGTGCTTTTGCTCTGTGGTGAAAGTGTGAGCACTTGATCTCATCGGCGTCAGCGCATCATGCTTTGGCTTTGCGCATGTTTCTCGTGGTGTATAGGCTGTCCTGGTGTTGTAGTGTCTCGCATTTCTTTTTAGCACTCTTTCAGATAGTGTCGTGCCGCCAGATGTTTAGGAACAATGTATCCTCGATTTGTCCCCTCTGCATGCTGGCTTTCAATGATGGTGCGGCGCTACGTGCATTTGTGCTCATGACGCTGAACCCTCTTTTGTAAGCTCCAACTTTGCAAGCCTGCCTTGCAAGTCAGAATTTCAGGTCCAGATTGGCTCAGAGAGCTGTTTGGGTAGGAGTTGGCAACGGGCGCGCTTCTGCAGCGCTTACGGGAGTCCCTGGTGCAGAGACAGCTGTGGCCAGCAGATGTGTTCCACCGCCTGGACAGCCACAATTCTGGCAGCCTGGGAATGGCCAGGTACTGAGATGAGAGCCTCGCGGTTTCCCTTTAAGGACTTGTGGGCCACTTGTGGGGCGTCTGGGGCTTTCGAGCTAAGGCGGAACTGACAAGAGGCTTGCCTTGGATGCTGGGCGAGGAAGAGACGTCAATGAGAGAAGCGCAAAGCTGCGCGCTGGCTGCCCACGCTCAGTTCCTAGCACTTGTCGGGGCACTTTTCAACAAGCTGGATCGTGACGGTAACGCCCGAATCGATGTGGAGGATGCTTGGCCGCGTTTGGCTTTTTTCGGCTTCGTGAGACATCCTTGATGTTCTTTCAAGTAATTATGCTGAGGAGTTCAAGGCGGCCCTGGAGCCCGACGAGGAGTCCAAAGGATGACCCTGTGTAGTCTATGGCCCTCCCCGAACCCACATCCAAACTGCTGGCAAGGCAGTCGAAGCTGACGGAGGACCTCGTGGAAGAGCTGGGACTTGAAGCCGGCTGAAATCTGATCGATTCAACTTAGCGTCGAATGTGTCACACGTCGGCTCAAAGTGGTCCGATGTCGCCAGAGCAAAACGTCAGTGTGTTTTGTCAAAGTACATGTTGCACTACTTGTCAGTTGTTCATGCTGTGCACTACCGCAGGCCTTGAGCTTTACTTTTACCAGCCAATAGGAAACGAGTATTGTGCGAACTACAGTTACAGTTTTAACTGTTTGTGACAACAACACTACAGCACTTGCACTTGTACCAATCAACAGTTTGATTTTACCGTGGTAGCGGAGCTGAGATCCTACAAGGAGCTCCAGTACACAGCAGGGAAGTACAACAACAACTGCAAGGCAATCACCTACCGAACTACTACGACATGTCAGGAGAACCAGCAGCATCAGGTCAGCGCGCCGCAGGAGCAGACAATGGGCCAACAACAGTAGCAGCAGAGACAGTAGGCGCCGCGACTACGGGAATAGGAGAAACACAAACACAAGACAACGCCGTTCAAAGACCACACAAGCTGCCACCACCATTCTTCAATGGCGACTACTCACAGTATGAAGAGTGGGTACAACGGCTCATCCAGAGCATGGGGGTACACTTTTAGCGCCATGAACGACCGCCGCGCAACTGTTTCTCAACAAATCCAGTGGCAGAATCAATCAACACCACATTTTTTGTTTTTTTGTTTGTTTGTTTGTTTGCTTGTTTGTTTGTTTGTTTGTTTGTTTGTTCGCGTGTCTGCCCGCTTCTCTGCAAGCCACTACACAGGCTCATTTGCACTACTGTTTCGCCGCGCTCTGCTTTTAGGTCACTACAGCCATGGGTCGCTTTGTGACTACTTCTCCGGAGGACGAGGTGGCAATGTTGACAAGGCCACTACCCCCCGGCCCCACTACCGTTAGTTGGTGCAGCTGGCGTTGCCCATAGTACCGCGGTTCCAGTGATTCGCAGGTTGTAGTTCTACACTACAGCCATTTCAGAGCCTGCTACACCTTCTCTACCACTACACGGCTACATGAACCAACTTACAACTGAGTCTAAATGACGCATACTGCGTCAGATGCACATGTTGGGAAACACTACAGTGTTTCAGAATGCCACGCAACTACAAAGCGCATCAAGTCCCTGGATTACTTCACCCGCGACTACACCAACCAGTCTACATCCATCATGAGCAACTACAACCTTCTACTCAACTACTACCAAGGAGCACACCTCATCAACTTCAACTTCAACAAGTTCACACTGCGCTGCTCCCTGTCCGACGACTACATTTGGGGCTACCGTTTGCTGACCAACACTCAACAACTACTACACCTTCACACAGCGCGCAACAACGACGACGCAGTCGAGCGCGCAACAGGATGCAACCTCAACAAAACTACGCAACACTATGGCCATTTCCTCTTGACAACTAGACATGGCTCATAGGGTTCACCGACTATTACTTCGCACTTTAAGCGAGTGCATCACTATGACAGCCAATCCGGTGACGGACTACAACAGGGCCGGCCAGGAACTGCTCGACTGCTTCAGCGACGCAACTACACGCCAAGCGCAGGAGGACATGAAAGTACTACAGCGCAACTACTTTCGTGAGCGCGTTACATGAAGTTCCTCGAGAACTACATCAGTTTGCACTACACGCATGATGAACAGCAATGCTTCATCGCTGTGTCACGACTGTGAATCTCTTTTGCTGCAGTTGACAAGACCATTACAACTGAGGGGTCGTGTCAATGTACATGAAGTGTGGTCCTGCGTAGCTTGTGCATGACCGCAGGCCTCGAGCTTATCGCTACATGAGCCCATGAAAAATAGGAGCTGTGCAGGCTAGAGGATTGCGTGTTTGTGTTAGCAACATGACAGCCCAGAGATTGAGAGAGGGAGAGAGAGAGAGAGAGCGAGAGAGAGAGAGAGGAGCGAGAAGGGTTGGTGTTGGCACAGACCAGCAAAACCTTGACTCCAGATGATTATAGGAAGACAAAAGCATCACGCATGTCTCTTCATGCCTCCCCACTTCCCTGATTCGAACAGCTTTGCGCGCGAGGTTGTTCCTTGATCCAAGCCATGACGATATCAAGGAACGATGCAACACGTCAGAGCGCAAAGCACGCAGTGCCAGACTTGCATCCCAGCATCACCGCCAATTCAAAAGCCCTCACCGCATCATTTCTGAATCGCGTGTCCTGACTCACGTTTCTGCGTTTCCTGACTCACGTTTGCTGTTGTGATCCAAATATATAGTATATATAGTATATATATATATATATCACTTTCATTCTTGACTTGCCTGCAGTTGTTTCTTGGTTCGCCCCTGTCCATTTCTTGACTCATGTTTCCTGACACGGTCATTTGTTTCCTCACTCGATCTAGTCTCCACTTTCAGTTTTGACCTAGGGGGTCACGTGTACCGGCCTAATTTCGAGAAGCGCCCGGTCGGATCGCCCGATCATGGCAGCCAATGAGCAGGGCTGCTTGCTCCCTGTGCCTGCTGCTGCTGATTGTGTGCTCGGGGCTGGTTTGGCAGCTGGACGTGTTACCTGCAGATGTGGTCGCGCAGGTGAGGTTTGTCAGTGAGCCCAGGCCAGAGCTTGGTGTGAAGCAGGGAAGGCCCGAGCCGGAGCAATTCCAGCCCGAGCCCAAGCCCGAGCTCGAGGAACCTGAGCCCGAGCCCGAGGAGCCCCAGGAGCCCGGGGCGAATGGACCCGAGCCTGAAGCTGAGCCTGAGGCTGAAGAGCTTGCAGAGCCCGAAGAGCCCAAGCCTCCCAAGAAAGTCCCGTGGCAAGCGTAAAAGTGGGCGAAAACATGTTGGCGTTTACTGGGCTCTCAACCCCTTTTTTCCGGAAACGTGGAACTTCCGAGCAATGCTCACCTCAAGGATTTGTTTTGGAGTGGAAGACGAGGGGTCAACTTGTCACACCTGAGCAAAGGTGCCGAAGCCGCGCGTGGCCCGCAAGGAGATCGTGCAGGTGACCAAAGATTGGAAGTTCTTCAAAGCGCATCAGCATCACTGGAAGGCCTTGAAAGGCTTAAGAGTTCTTGATGTCGGCATGGGCCAGGGGCCTATTGGCGTGGTTGCGCTGGCGACCGGGGTGCAGCACTATGTGGGCCTGGACCCCGCCGTGCGCATCCACGAGCTGCCTCAAGCGCGAAAGATCGGGCAGTTCACGAAGGCCGGGGAGCCAGTGACGGCGCAGTTCCCCTTCTCCGGCGCGGACATGATGGCGGCCTATCCGGAAAAGCTGGTCCTGCTGCAGGGCACCTTCGAGACGCTCCGGGACGACCCGGCGCTGAAGCCGGGTGCCTTTGACATCGCCACCCTCTTCTCCGTGTCCGAGCACTTGCCCAACATCACGGAGGTCTGGGAGGGCGTCTTCAATGTGCTGAAGCCCGGCCAGCTCTTCCTGTACTCACACCACAACTACTACAGCTTCAGCGGCCACCATGCGCTGCCCAAGGAGCCTAAGAAGTTTGTCCCCAACAATGAGGAGCACCGGAAGGTTGCCTTTTGGCGGCATCTGGACCAAAGCAGCCCTCCCTTCAGCGACGTGACCATGAACCGCATCCGCCTGGGTGACCTCATGGCTATCACAGGTGTCTTCTTCAACTGCGCCCCGCGGCTCCAGAAAAGCAGAAAATGAACAGCCAAGGAGCTCCAAACTCCTTTGCAAAGAAGGGAGCAACAGGTCGGTTGGACAGGAAAACAACAAGATGTTCCTTCTTTGTCCAAGAAGGGTGTCTTCACGGTGTTTCCTCGTTTTCATTCTATTTCATTCTATTTCATTCTATTTCATTCTATTCCATTCTATTTCTTTCGTTTCTTTCTTTTCTGCGTGAGGTGTGGGAGGTGCGGCGCAACGCGCACGACGAGGACGCGCTGAAGCCCGGCGTCTTCCAACCGCTGCAGCGGCGCGGCTTCGAGGCCGCGGAGCTGCTCACGAATCGTCTGCTCTGCGCGTGCCAGCGCCGCCCGGAGCCTCGCCAGGAGACGCCACGAATACGTTGAATACGTTATGCCGGGAATAGTCCGAGTACGTGCTAGAAGTACTAGAAGTACTAGAATAGCTATTGCATACCTCGGGTTGACCTCGTCTAGCCTTTTTGCTGTCCGAGACACCACACTGGGACACCAACACTAGGACGCAATCTACACCACCGGGGCACCGAAACAGGGACGGAACACTGGGACACTACACTGGGACACTATCAGGACACAATGCCGCCCTCCCTCCCCCCCGGCATTGTCGGCAACATGGGCTGCACGGACACCTTTCATAGTTCTAGCCAATTTTCTCCGAATTGGCTGGGCCGACAGAACTTTGGCGTTTCCCGCAGGCGCCATGGCTTCAGAAAGTTTGGGTCCACCACCCACCCACCGACGGCTCCTACCAGCCACAGCCCTTGCCCCCCGAGATCCAGCAGATCGTGAGTTCGCAGAGTTTCCAGCACGCTCCGAAGCTCGAGAAGTTGCGCAAATACATCTACATTTGAACGGACGGCTCACGGACGGCTCCGCTCTGGAGATGCGACTCGGGTTCGCCACGCAAGGCGGCGGGGCCAAAAAGAGCACGTGCGGAAGCACTGGCGAGTCGCATTAGGGAGCCGGAGCTCGTGTTTGGTGCGTTAGTGCCAAGTAAAATTGCATCACCTTAACACTGCTGGCGCTCTGTTGTGGCAGACCCGTGCCAATTTCTTATCCTTGTCCATTGGCCCTTCTTGACAACGCAACTGCCACCTTGCCTGCAGCTTCTGAAAGAGGGCTCCAGATGCACGCAGCGTTTACCGAACTCTACAGCCCAAGATGTGGCAGCGGCATGTTTGACACATTTGTTTGGGTTTGGTATTCTTCAGTGCTTCCGAGCCAATTCTGAGCTGGGGTCAGACAGGGTCTTGAGCCAGGCACAAAGCCCTACTCGGAGGGCCAGAAATCTACAAGGAAGGGGCTGGTGAGGACAAAGGCGTGTAGAAGCAGAGAGCAAATGAGCAAACCGGGGGCAAACCGGGCTCAAGTTGATTTTCACGGGCAGGTGAACTTGCGCGGCTTCAGGCGGGCAACCAGCATTTGGGCCGCGGCATCGGGGCTTTGCCAGGCTTTCATTGGTGCCATCGCAATTGGTGACATGGTGAAGTCCACGTTGGGCCCGAAAGGCCCGGGCTTGCGCTTTTTTCCATGAGGCACGCAAGTCTCAGACCTGAGGCATGGACAAAATCCTGCAGCCTGCGAACACAACCGGGCCCAACTCCAGCCTGGGCCTCATAACTTTTAGCATCTGTAGCATCTGTAGCATCTGTAGCATCTGTAGCATCTGTAGCATCTGTAGCATCTGTAGCATCCCGTATGTCGCATTTCATGCTCGCTGGCCAGATGCCACGGTCACCAATGACGGAGCCACGATCCTGAAGTCTGTGTGGATCGACAACCCTGCTGCCAGGACGGCGCCGTGAAAAAAACAGATCTTTATTTTGACGATTGAACGACTCTGAATGAAGTTCTGAAGGCTTTTCTACCTGCAGGATTTTGGTCGACATCTCCAAGACACAGGCGCAGTGGCTGCGCACTCTCCCCAAATCCGAATCCATCCGAATCCCTCATTTGAGCCTTCCGCCGGAAATGTCGTTTTCTCAGTCTCAATCTTTGAACGTCAAGTTGGTGATACCCTTGCGCGGCCAAACAGTTGATGCAGCCAGCGAATTTGAGTGATTGCCGGGTCGAGCTGTCGCACTGAGCTTTTGACAGTTGGGAATGGCCTAGTTGCAGTCGAGAAAGGTTCTCGTAAACTTATCTTCTCTCGGCTTGAGCGATCCAATCAAATCGCAGAATCGAGACATTGAGATCGTGACTTGTAATCATTTGCCTTGAACTTTGTGACAGGGTAAGAAGAGCCTCATTTCATCATCCATGAGCGTTTCAAAGGCTGTCCCTTTGTCCCTTTGTTTTTGTGTGGGGGCTTGAGCGATCTGCCCCGCGAGGATCAGGAGTGCGGTGATGGCACGCCCGTGGCCTTGGTCGTGGCCTTGGATCCTGCGCCGACTGCACGGCTGAGGACATCAGTTGTAGTCCTGGCCGCCGAGATGCTGCGAAACGCCCGCGGCTCAGAATTGAAGCGAACACCATCCATTGCCCGAGTGCTGCACTGATACGCGAAACTGGCAAGCCAGCGCTTGAACTGGCTCTCTTTGCAAAGATTCTGCTCAAGCTGGCAATGCGAGGCGCAGAATTTGGTGGAGGCGAAAATGCACCCTCAGGTGAGATGGTTGCGTGCCGCTTGTTTCAGCAGATCTTAGTCGGGCGATGTCCTCTCCTTTTGATGCATGTGATTTCCGGATGGAAGGTGATCATTCGGGGCTATCGCCTGGCCTTGGCAGCAGCACGGGAAAGGCCATGGGCTACTGCCTGGGCTTGGCGGCTCACCTTTGACTTTGAGGCTAGAGGCGCTCGCGATGGACAACGGTCGTGACCCAACAAAGTTCCGGGAGGATTGGAGCAGAGAGCTGGTGGCTTTCAGATACCTGGCAAGTGAAGGACCTGCTGAGAATCGCGAGAACAACTCTGAGCTCCAAGCTGTCGTCGGCCCCAGCATGCAACCGGCGCTTGACCGCGGGGAGTGACTTGTGACTTGTGACACTCGTGTTTCGTGAGGCTACAGCACGAGAAGGATCACTTCGCCACTTTAGCAGTGGATGCAGTGCTGCGATTAGGTGGCAAGCCTGGGTGCCCAGTGCGGGAGGCCTTCCAGTCGGGAGACATGAACCCACCTGTTGCTTTAGGCCCAACCTGGACTACATCCAGGCTGGTGCAATTGCTTGCATCGACGGCGCAATGTGCTTTTGACTGCAGGTGCTTAAGAAGCCAGGGGCATCGTTGAAGGAGTCCTTCCTAGAAGAGGCCCCGCACAAATCCCGAGCTGTGCTGATCCTCTCAGCCTGTCAGGGCTTCATCCTGGAAAAACGCATCGGTGTCGGCATGGAGCTCACAGATGCCACGCTGCGCTATCACATCTCCGGCTCATCAGAGTGTCAGGCCACAAGAAGGTGCTGGAGGATTGCAAGGCCTTTCACAGCCCCCGCAGTTTTGCCCGCTGCCTCCCTAGCGAGGTGCTCGTAGCCAACTGCCAGATGGACACTGACAAGATCAAGATCTACGGTGCCCGGGTCAAGGCATCGCAGAAGGGGTGTTGGTGAAAAGAGAATCGCAAGCTGGCATTGCCAGCCACCCCCTCTGACTGCAGATGCTTGAAGCAAGGATGTTACTTTGAAAGCAACCACTGAGCTCGACCAGGTTGATTCACTGGAGGCAGTGGCTGAAATCGAGCAGGCAGAAAAGGCTGGGCGCCTTGCTGAGGTGAGTTAACAGCTGTGGCTGCAAACTGAGAGCAGGACAAGATGAAGACCAAAATTGAAAAGATCGCTGCGCACAAATGCAACGCTCTGCACCAAGTGGCCAGAACTTCCCGACTGAGCGGCCCATGGGGACGAACCCAGGTCTTCATCAACAGACAGCTGATTTACAACTATCCTGCTCGGCGCCCGTTGCGATGGGCATTCTCGAAGGGATTCCAAAGATTCCCCCATTGACCGAACGAGTGGGCTTCAGGACCAGCTCCTGAAAGACGCTGGGGTGATGGCCATCGAGCACTCCGCCTGAGCCCCATGTTGAAGAATTTTCTCGGGGATTGGCAAGCGGCCAAAGGAAGACTATTTGGATTGGGAGTGTATTCATTGCAGGACTTTGATGGAAGCGAGCGCCTTGCAGCAGTGCTGGGTGCAGACATCGCCGGGTCCCTATCTGCCAAAGTCATGAACCCCTCTGGCGACTTGGCGACTTGGCGACACAGGTCTCCACTTTTGACAACCCAGAGCTGACGACCCTTGGCAGCTGCAAGAGAATCGAGGAGATCATGATTGGCACGAGCCTCGAGAGGCCTTTAGCTGAGAAATGGATATGTGGGACTCAGGCGAGGACAAAGTCATCAAGCCCGCAGCCTAGCCACAACATATTGCGACTTTGTAGCAACGGCCCAGCGCAGGTTCTCTGGCTGCAGCAAGGGCGAAGCTTGCACCATTGTGCTCGGCGGCCTAACACAGTGTGAAGCCGCCTTGGGGATCGAGCCACGAGCTCAGGCTTCGTGGCAGCTCCATGCACGTACTGGACGAGGCAAGAGCGACCAGATGGCCTTGGCCCACAGAGCATCACGGCACGCAAGGCTGAGCGGTCGCTACACGATGCACTGGCCGTGCTGTTCCAGACCGTGCAGGTGGGACTTGTCTCTTCACATCTCTTGACATCTCTTGACATCTCTTGACATCTCTTGACGCTGTGAAAGTTTCTCGAGAGACATGTGTTCTCAGGAGACGCGCGTGGCCGGGCCCTCGAGCCGCGAGAGTTCCCGCGTGCCTGAGCTGAGCCGAGGTTTGGGGCGGTGGATCCATGGAGATGGCCCAGCGCTCTGGGCAGCGTCACTTCCTTCACTCTCCCAGCCCGAGGCAATGGCGCAAGCAGTGCAGCAGAAGCTTACAGAGGCTCCAAACAGGTGCTTCGATTTATGTCTTGAATCTCCAAACAGGTTGGTGGCAAGGAGAGTGTCGCCATGGAGCAGTTTGGGAAAGCTCTTATGCGGCTCATTTGCATCGGTCTCCAAGACTTTGGGATCGCCCCATGGTTAAGGCAAATACCCATCATCCTTGCGGACAACGCCGGCCGGGAGCCCAAGAAAAGCCCAAGAAAAGCCCAAGGGGAGCCCCTTGAATTGCGGGCCTCCGGCTCGAGCTCGAGCTCGCGCTTCTTGCTTAGGCCTGGACTCTGCGGAGCTCGTGGGCCAGCTGCGCGCGGCGCATGCCAAGGGAGCCGACCTCTGCGAAACGTGTCAGACGGATACGGCCGCAAGACACCTGCGATTTTTTTCAACCTCAACTTCTCCGTGCTTTTCAGTCGGCTTTCGAGCCTGAGGCGAGAACTCTGTTGGTCTTGAGTTCTTCGACGGCACGGTCGCCGATATGTCGCAGTGGGGGGCCTGGCATGCCGGAACCTTTCAACTTAGGGCCGCACATGAATCCATGCTCAAATTTTCTGGGCCTGCGGCCTCTAGCCGGCTACGCCTCTTTGAAGTTATACCATGTCATGTCATGTTTTTGTATGAGAAACATATTCCGTGCTGTGATATGGTTGGTTAGGTTATGCATGTTGCCACACCAACCCCAGATGATGCAGGGGATGCCAGCTTTCTGGGCCCCAGCCGGGCCCCAACCCAGAAGGCTGACATGGGGTCGCGCGCGCGAACGCGCGCGCGCCAGAGGCCCCAGAAAAAGCAGCCCAAAAAGAGCAGCCCTCAAGCCAGCCCGGAAACGCGCCACACCTCAAGCATGCAGAAGAAACCAATACCGGATGATGATGCTGATGATGATGATGATGATACTGATTGTGTGTCGCGGGCCAATTCCACCAGCTGTGAAGCTTATCCAAGCAAGTTTCGGACGAGCTTCGTCCAAAGCCAGCTTAATGGTCGTCGACGCATTTTCTGCATCACCAATGCATCCTGCGCATCGCCAAATGAGCCCAACGCTGATGACGATGATGATGATGATGATAATCAGCCCTGCGACTGGAGATGCTAGGGATGCGTAGCGATGGTCATCATCGTCAATGATGATTATCGTCATGCTGCTGCGCGCTGCTGGAAATGCTAGGGATGCGTAGTGATGATTATCATCGTCCCGATGATTGCTGCTAGAGATGTGATGAGTGTCATCGTTCCTACCGGAGATGCTAGGGATGCATAGTGATAGTTATCATCGTCAGGCGCTGCTGGAGATGTTACGGATGCGTCGTGATGATTATCATCATCCTGCTGATCGTTGTTGGAGATGCTAGGGATGCGTAGCGATGATGGTCATGGCTGGTATACTGGAGATGCCAGGGATCATCAGGAGGATCGTTGCTGGCGATGCTGTGATAATGTATTCACTACGCATCTATAGCATCTCCAGCCGTGATGATCAGAACGATGATAAGCATCGCTACGCATCCGTAGCATCTCCAGCAATCATGATCAGGATGATGATTAGCATCGCTACGCGTCGCTGGCACCTCCAACTGTGCCTAACGTGACGTTTGCAATGCCTATAATACGAATACAAAGGCGATGAGCATCACTACGTAGCCACAGCATGAATGATAATCATCACTACGCATCCATAGCATCTCCAGCAGTGATGATCAAGATAATAATAAGCATCACTACGCATCCGTAGCATCTCCAGCGGTGATGTTCAAGATGATGATAAGCGTCGCTATGCATCGCCGGCGTCTCCAACTGTGCCTAACGTGACTTTCGAAATGTCTATAGTAGGAATACAAAGGCGATCATCATCATCAGGATGGTGAGAAGCATCACTACGCATCCGTAGCATCTCCAGCAATGATGACCAGGATGATGATAAGCGTCACTACGCATTGCTGGATCTCGAACTGTGCCTAACGTGACTATTGAAATGTATATCGTAGGAATTCAAAGGTGATGGTCATCACTTCCGCGTGAATGACAGCCATCACTACGCATCCATAGTATCTCTGGCAGTGATGATGATCAGGATGATGATAAGCATCACTACGCATCCGTAGCATCTCCAGCAGTAATGACTAGGATGATGATAAGCATCGCTACGCATCGCCGGCATCTCCAACTGTGCCTAACGTGACTTTTGAAATGCCTATAGAAGGAACACAAAGGCGATGAGCATCACTACGTAGCCACAGCATGAATGATAGTCATCACTACGCATCCATAGCATCTCCAGCAGTGATGATCAAGATGATGATAAGCATCACTACGCATCCGTAGCATCTCCAGCAGTGATGATCCTACTATGCATTGCCGGCATCACAACTGTGCCTAACATGACTTTTACAAAGGCAATGACATCGCTACGTAGCCACAGCCTCGCCAGCAATGATCCGCGCGAATGATAACCATCGCTACGCATCCATAACATCTCCGGCAGTGATGATGATCAGGATGGTGATAAGCGTCACTACGCATCCGTAGCATCGCCAGGAGTGATGACCAGGATGATGATAAGCATCGCTACACATCGCCGGCATCTTGAACTGTGCCTACCGTGACTTTTGAAATGTCTATAATAGGAATACAAAGGCGATGATCAGCATCGCCGGCAAGCATCCGCGTGAGTGACAGCCATCACTGCGCATCCATTGATCAGGATGATGATAAGCATCGCTACGCATCCGTAGCATCTCCAGCAGTGATGGCCAGGATGACGATACGCGTCGCTACGCGTCGCCGGCATGTGTACTAGGAATACAAAGGCGAGGATCATCGCTACTTCGCCGCAGCATCGCCGGCAACGATCCAGAGCATCTCCAAGCAGGATGATGATAAGCGTCACTACGCATCCGTTGCATCTCCTGCAGTGATGATCAGGAATATGATAAGCATCGCTACGCATCGCCGGCATCTCCAACTGTGCCTAACGTGACTGTTGAAATGTCTATATTGATAATCATCACTACGCATCTATAGCATATCCAGCAGTGATGATCAAGATGATGATAAGCATCGCTACACATCCGTAGCATCTCCAGCAGTGATGATCAGGATGATAAGAAGCATCACTATGCATCGCCGGCATCTCCAACTGTGCCTATAACGTGACTTGTGAAATGTGTGTACTAGGAATACAAAGGCGAGAGCATCGCCGGCAACGATCCAGAGCATCTCCAAGCAGGATGATGATAAGCGTCACTACGCATCCGTTGCATCTCCTGCAGTGATGATCAGGAATATGATAAGCATCGCCACGCATCGCCGGCATCTCCAACTGTGCCTAACGTGACTGTTGAAATGTATAGAATAGGAATACAAAGGCGATGATCATCACTACGTAGCCACAGCCGCGCCAGCAATGATCCGCGTGTATCAATCACTACGCATCTATAGCATCTCCAGCAGTGATGATCAGGATGATAAGAAACATCACTATGCATCGCCGGCATCTCCAACTGTGCCAAAATGTATATAATGGGAATACAAAGGCGATGATCATCACTACGTAGCCACAGCTGCGCCGATTGATAACCATCACTACGCATCCACAGCATCTCCAGCAGTGATGGCTACACATCCGTAGCATCTCCAGCAATAGAAAGACATGCTGATGCAAGAGTGATGACCTTCCACCCTTCCCGTGCGCCTCCCCCTTTCAGGACAAGGGGTCGGCGGAGTTCTTGGCGACTCAACAAAACCAGAGGGGCCTCAGGGGGGCAGTTCGTTGCAGGCTGGGCATCATGGAGTCCTTCCGCAGCAAGATGTCGCAGCTCTGCTCAGCAGCAGAGGCGGGATCAGCGGCCTTTTCAAGAGGCTTTGGAGATGTGGGGGGTCGTTCGGCCGGATTTTTTTGGCATTGCAGGCAGCTGAGATGATCATCCGGGTTGACGACATCATCAAGAGCTGCGCCCAGTTGTTGCCAAGGGCCAGCCTCAGTTCCTGATTCCTGCTTGCTCCTGGCTTTCACCTTCCCCAGACTTGCACTTTGCCAGGAATGCGCCCCGGCAGCGAGAAGGCTGAGGCATGCATGCAGACCTATCCATGCTATGGAGAAAAGAGCCGTGTTTCAGCACGCATCTCCTGAAGTGGGCCATGTGTGCCTCAAGTGCACCGGATCTGCAGCTGTTTCTACGGCAGGGTAAAGCGGTAAAGGGCATATGCCCAAAACGGACCGCATGGGCCGCATGGTCAGCCGCAGCACAGACAGCTCTTAACATTTGTGTTCTTTCAGCCGATATGCAAACCAATATAGCCGGACCACTGGAAGTGGAGTCAAGGCAGCACCACTGGAATGTCGCGCCATGCATGCCGAGGCAAGTGAGAGCCAGGCAGGGAAGCATGATCATTTGTGGCAGTTCCTCCCATAAGAGTCAAACGCAGCGAGCTTGGAGCAGTCGGCAGGAGTTGGCAAGGTTTGATGCAGTGGAGACCAGAAGCATCCCAGAGTTCAGATGGTCCTTCTATCAGACAGACGGCTGGGAAGGATACCAGGACACTGCCCCGGCCGCGGAGTCGCGAACCCGACTTTCGGCCGCAAGGATGAGGAGGTCGAGGAGGTTCTGACCAGACCTCGGCCACCAAAGCCCTGGCATGTGCGAGATGAGAAGATCCAGGTGAGAGACAGACATACCCTTGAAGCGCCCTCCAACCATGAGCTTCCAAGCAGCTCTTCTCCCTCTCTGGCTTACTTTGCTTCTTGTTTGTTGTTTGCTTCTCACTTGCTTCTTGGCGCAGGCCATGGTGCAGGAGGTAGGTGCCCAGGTGGGCATCCCCGACCGCCTCTTGCGCCACGCCAAGTGTCGGTCCCCTGCGCGGGCCTTGGCTTTCCCGAGTCCGAGGGAGCGATGTCGCAAGTTTCGCAAGGCGTTCGAGGACGAGGCCGACATGGATGCCGTCCATGAGGTGGAGCTGTGCGTGTGTTTGCCATGTGCTGCCTCCCCCGTGTTGCTTAGCTGGCTGAGAAAGGCCAGCCAGGCACATTCATGTGCACCCAGCTTTTCTCATGTCACGTGATGATTGTATGTCTAGCGAATGTAGCGATATATCATTGCGTGTGAATCATGCTCAATCAGCGTCTCTTGTCCAGAATGTCCACCGTGACGCCTGCATAGCATTCAGCCTTGACATGTGTATCATGTGTGACCATCCTAGCAGTACTGCCTTGAAATTTGCAAGTGCTGTTGACGACACGCACGTCCCGCATTTTTGAGTTGGACTGACATGAGGCATCCAGCCAAGCGCCTACCAGAACTCGGAAGAGGCATGCCGTTTCAGTTTTTCATCACGTTTCCGAGTGACCGCCTTGCGCAGGTCAGTCCGCTTTGCAGACGGAGATGCGCTCGACAGGACACTTCAGACGGGTGCTTTGGTGTTTGTTGGGAGAGTAACCGGCTCCTAGCTGAGCTTGACCGCCAGGATGCTTCAGCGAGAGCAAGAGGCCCAACCAAGTGGGGCGCGCAGAGAGGAGCGAGGCTCGTATTCAATTTCCCCTTTTAGGCTGAAAAATGTGTCAGGTGCTGATTGATTCAATCGGATTTCGCTCCGATCACTGTGATTGCCTCCACGTCTTTTGTGAGGAGTGCGACAAGAAGTGGAAGATCTCGGACGCAGACTTCCGAGATCTCGTGCTGGCGATGGCAAAGGAGCCAAAGCGACATAAGAAAGTGCATTTGAGATTAAGAACGCCAACTTGTTCAAATTCTTCAAATGCAACTCTTTGCCATTTGCACGCTGTCCGAGCTTGCCGAAAGGCTCAGGAAGCAGCTCCTCCCACTCTGTCCTGTTCGGCTTCCGCGCCCGCTCTCCAGGCGACCTTGCATCCTGTGGCCGTTGGAAGTGTCTGACAATCCAGGCCAATCCCAAAGAAAAGATCTTGGTGCACGTCCACTTTGTCGACTCTCATGACTGAGCGCCAAGTGTCAAGTGAGAGTGGCCAGCATGTTGACCGGGAGTTTTGAAGAATTCAGCGTCAGGACATCATGTCATTGCGCCAGATGCTCAGTTGAGGGGCCCTCAAGTCTCAATTCTATCATTTCACGGATTTGCACGTGACAGGCGTAGGATATTTTCTACTGAGGCGTATCCCCGGATCTCCGGATCGGACCTGCGCCTGTGCCCAAAGGCAATCGCTTCACAGACATGTGGCGGCCTTGAAGCGTCCGACACGGCTCTGAACTCGTTTCTCTTTGGACATTTCACATGTTTATTGTTTGTGTACGGTTTTTTTCCATCTCACCGAGATATGGCCTGGGAGCAAGCACCAAAGGCTTTGCTGAGGACGGCGAAACTCTGCATGCAAGAGTCGTCCGAAAGGTCCTTGCATTGAGATATGAAGGGGAATACCTTTTTGTCTTGGTGTTGACCTCCGCGAAAGTTCCGCGAAGGGGGTCGCGAAAGTTATTTTTTGTTTTGTGTAAGGGTGGCTTGCTAGCAGGAAGGTGGCATGAGCTGGCAGTGCACGCAGAATGCGCACAAACTAAAGTTGGTCGGGGAAAGCGCCGCCTGAGGGTTGCCGCAAGAATGCGCTGCAAAGCGCCGCCTGAGGGTTGCCGCAAGAATACGCTGCTGCAAGAACAACCCCAGCAAAAATCAGCTTGTGGGAGTTTTGAAGCTTTCGGGCCAAGTTGAGTGCAACTTTCCAGCCGGGTTTTGTTTTCGCTAGTGTTTGGCGCAAGATCCCCGAAAGTTTCGCGAAAGTCGATGGACCTCCCCGCCAGTTCCGCCAACGGGTCCCCTCGGAAGAGAGATTCGCGTGCTCTTTTGTGTTTAAAAGTTGTGACTTTCCAGCCAGGGCTGCTGGAAGTTTACTTTGCATACTATTTGTGATGAATTTTGTGAAATCAGGTCCGCCAAAGTTCCGAAATGGGGTTCGCGAAAGTTGTTTTTTCGCGAAGATGGCCGTTTGCTGAGCAAGACATTCCAGACTACCGGCATGTTGCTGCATGGCCAGCGGCTCTAGTGTGACTCTAGCGCCTCGGCGCAGTTCAAGCAGTTCGACTACCAGCGGCGGCGCTGGCTTGGGGGCTTTCGCAAAGAATGGGTGCCGGTGAGACGCCCAGAGAGTTGTTGAGGTCTTCCAGCGCAAGGTTGTTCTTGCTTTGTTTAGACCCTCAAACAGTTACACAGCTGTCCCACAAAACAGCGCGTGCGCTAGACGCCTGTGTAGCCTTAACCGGTTACGTAGCTGTCCCGTCACCACACGTGCGCAAGCAACCTTCACCTTTAACTGGTTACACAGCTGTCCCTAAAAAGGAATGTGCGCAAGAAAGCTTCACCGTGACTGGTTACACAGCTGTCCCCTACCGCAGCACCGCGCGCAAGAGGCCTTTACTGTCGCAAGAAGCCTTCAGACCCGTCCCCCGAAACAGCACGCGCACAAGAAGCCTTTACTGTTAACTGGAGATGCAGCTGCCATTTCGCAAGAACCGTTTTTTTGTAAATCGGTTGTACAGCTGTTCCCTAAAGCAGCACGCGCGCAAGAAGCCGCCTTTGTTAACAGGCGACGCAGCTGTCCCCAAAAGCAGCACGCGCGCAAGAAGCGGAAGATGCCCCCACCGTCAACCGGTTACATAGCTGACGCCTTTGCCGTGAACCGGTCCCCTAAAACAGCACGTGCGCAAGAAGCGGAAGATGCCCTCACCGTCAACCGGTTACATAGCTGTCCCTAAAACAGCACGTGCGTTTGCCGTGAACCGGTGCTACAGCTGTCCCCTAAAACAGCACGTGCGCAAGAAGCGGAAGATGCCCTCACCGTCAACCGGTTACATAGCTGTCCCTAAAAGAGCACGTGCCCAAGACGCCCTCCCCTAAAACAGAACGCGCGCAAGAAGCCTTCACGATTAACTGGCTATACAGCTGTCCCCTCACAGCGCTTGCGCAAGCAGCCTTTGCTGTTACCGGTCAAACAGGTGTCCCCGAAGACAGCACGAAGCCTTTGCGCAAAAGGCCTTCAGGCCGTTAACCGCTTATACAGCTGTCCCCTAAAACAGAGCGTGCGCAAGAAGCCTTCAGACCGTCAACCGCTTACACTGCTGTCCCCTAAAACAGCACGTGCGCAAGAACCTTTTATGTTGTTCACTGGAACACAGCTGTCCCTTCACAGCGTGTGTGCAAGCAGCTCTTGACCCCTCACAGCATGTGCGCAAGAAGCCTTTTCTAACCGCTTACACAGCTGTCCGTTAAAAGAGCGCGTGCGCAGAAAGCCTTTAGACCGTTGACCGGTAGCCCTTGCAGCATGTGCGGGAAGCCTTCAGACCCACACTCGCGAGAAGCCTGTAGATTTTGAACGGGTTCTACGGCTGTCCCCTCACAGCACCTGCACTGGGTTCTACAGCTGTCCCCTCACAGCACGCTTGCGAGAAGCCTTCAGAGCGTTAACACCGGGTTCTACGGCTGTCCCCTACGGCTGTTCCCTCACAGCACGCTTGTAAGAGTCAACCCCCTGACACCGGGTTCTACGGCTGTCTCCTCACAGCACGCTTGCGAGAAGCCTTCAGAGCGTTAACCCCCTGACACCGAGTTCTACGGCAGTCCCCTCACAGCACACTTGCGAGAAGCCTTCAGAGCGTTACCCCCCTGACACCGGGTTGTACGGCTGTCTCCTTACAGCACGCTTGCAAGAAGCCTTCAGAACCCCCTGACACCGGGTTCTACGGCTGTTCTACGGCTGTCTCCTTACAGCACGCTTGCGAGAAGCCTTCAGAGCGTTAACCCCGTGACACTGTCCCCTCACTGCACGCTTGCAAGAAGCCTTCAGAGCGTTACCCCCCTGACACCAGGTGCTACAGCTGTCCCCTCACTGCACGCTTGCAAGAAGCCTTCAGAGCGTTACCCCCCTGACACCGGGTGCTACGGCTGTTACCTCACTGCACGCTTGCGAGAAGCCTTCAGAGCGTTAACCCCCCAACACCGGGTGCTACGGCTGTCCCCTCACCGCACGCTTGCAAGAAGCCTTCAGAGCGTTACCCCCACGCTTGCAAGAAGCCTTCAGAGCGGTAACCCCCTGACACCGGGTGCTACGGCTGTCCCCTCACCGCACGCTTGCAACAAGCCTTCAGAGCGTTAACCCCCTGACACCGGGTGCTATGGCTGTCCCCTCACTGCACGCTTGCAAGAAGCCTTCAGAGCGTCAACCCCCTGACACCGGGTGCTACGGCTGTCCCCTCACTGCACGCTTGCAAGAAGCCTTCAGAGCCTTCAGAGCGTTAACCCCCTGACACCGGGTGCTACGGCTGTCCCCTCACTGCACGCTTGCAAGAAGCCTTCAGAGCGTTGACCCTGACACCGGGTGCTACGGCTGTCCCCTCACTGCACGCTTGCAAGAAGCCTTCAGAGCGTTAACCCCCTGACACCGGGTGCTACGGCTGTCCCCTCACTGCACGCTTGCAAGAAGCCTTCAGAGCGTTAACCCCCTGACACCGGGTGCTACGGCTGTCCCCTCACTGCACGCTTGCAAGAAGCCTTCAGAGCGTTAACCCCCTGACACCGGGTGCTACGGCTGTCCCCTCACTGCACGCTTGCAAGAAGCCTTCAGAGCGTTAACCCCCTGACACCGGGTGCTACGGCTGTCCCCTCCGACACGCTGTGCAAGAAGCCTTCAGAGCGTTAACCCCTGACACCGGTGCTACGGCTGTCCCCTCACTGCACGCAGTGCTACGGCTGTCCTCACTGCACGCTTGCAGCCTTCAGAGCGTTAACCCCCTGACACCGGGTGCTACGGCTGTCCCCTCACGGCTTGCAAGAAGCCTTCAGAGCGTTTCCCCTGACACCGGGTGCTACGGCTGTCCCCTCACTGCACGCTTGCAAGAAGCCTTCAGAGCGTTAACCCCCTGAAACCGGGTGCTACACACGCTGCTAGAGCGTTAACCCCTGACACCGGGTGCTACGGCTGTCCCCTCACTGCACGCTTGCAAGAAGCCTTCAGAGCGTTAACCCCCTGACACCGGGTGCTACGGCTGTCCCCTCACTGCACGCTTGCAAGAAGCCTTCAGAGCGTTAACCCCCTGACACCGGGTGCTACGGCTGTCCCCTCACTGCACGCTTGCAAGAAGCCTTCAGAGCGTTAACCCCCTGACACCGGGTGCTACGGCTGTCCCCTCACTGCACGCTTGCAAGAAGCCTTCAGAGCGTTAACCCCCTGACACCGGGCTACGGCTACCCCTCACTGCTTGCACCTTCAGAGCGTTAACACTGCTACGCTGTGCAAAGAAGCCTTCAGAGCGTTAACCCCCTGACACCGGGTGCTATGGCTGTCCCCTCACTGCACGCTTGCAAGAAGCCTTCAGAGCGTTAACCCCCTGACACCGGGTGCTACGGCTGTCCCCTCACTGCACGCTTGCAAGAAGCCTTCAGAGCGTTAACCCCCTGACACCGGGTGCTACGGCTGTCCCCTCACTGCACGCTTGCAAGAAGCCTTCAGAGCGTCAACCCCCTGACACCACACTCGTGAGAGCACGCGAAGTCTGGGTTGTTTGAGGCGTGGTCAGTGTCATTCAAAGGCCACGATCCCAGCGGCCTCGGCCACACTTGTTGTGGCTTGCGTGGCTTGAGCCGTGTTGCCAAACTCTTGAACCACCGTTCAACCACAGCCTGGCGGGCAGCAGCTCCCGGTGCATGTGTGTTGAGAGGAGTTCGTAGGGAAGATGCCACAAGACTTGGTGGCATGACAACTCCAGCTTTGCACCACTGTAGCCGTAACTTGAGGCCTCATTCAGGATCTCACTGGCATGGAGATAGCCAGGCAGGGACTCAGCCCTTGCAGAGGCGAACTCGAGACTGGTCCTTGCATGAATATGTATATATATATATATTGTATGTTTGTGTGCGTGCCAGAGTCCGTGCGTTGCTTGCCACAAAGCCCTCGCAACGCCTACGGTCGCAGGCAGCGTTTGTTCTCCCAGCACATTCCAATGCACGGTCGGGGCCCCGGTAGTGCCCAAAGTGGTATCCAGGAGGGGTGGATACATTCGAGGCCCAAGAAATCAGTGTGCTGGAACTTGCAGCTTTTGAACTGAACATCCAATTTATTCGACTCCAATGTTTGATGTTTGGCCACCTCATAGAGTTGATGCATCAAGCTAACTGCGCGTGGCCGCAGGCTTCGAGTTGCTGCACTTGTCATGCTTTACTCTGCCAGCCAGATGATAACCTGACACTACGATCCTGGAATGCCTTGGCCCTGGCAGTGTTGCAGTACCCATGAACACGGGTTGACGTTCGTCAATCTACACGTGTGACGTGTGGCCATGCTTCAAGATGAAGGGCCGTACTAAAGGTTTGGGTTCTCTCTTCAGAGTCAAGAAAAAGGAGGGCGCCCATTCTGACCCATGCATTGGTTCAATGGCATTTGAGCCCTGAAGTTGAGAGCTGGGTACTGAGTTGAGAGCCCTGAAGCTTTGCGGTGAATCCGCGAGGTGAGAGATGGTGGCATGAGCTTCCGGCGGATTGCGATGATAGAAAAGTCGCAAGCGCCAGGCAGTGGCGGAGTCGAGCTCCAAACCCGTGCCAGGATTCAATTGCGCTTCCAGCGCAAAATCTCAGCTTCGCAGCTGAAGGCCGTGCAAAGGGTCGAAGGCTCAGAGTCAAATAGAGCTTCATAGGCAAGGGCTCCCCGTGCCGGAAGTCTTGAACTTGCAGGCATGCCAAGCTGCCATTCAAGCTGACGGTGACACAGACAGGTGTCCCGAGACTGCGAGACCCAAGCCTTCTGAGTTTGGGCAGGTGCACGTCCATCAACCCGGCACTGCCAGTGCAGGCGGCACCCAGGCTGCAAAGAAAGTTCTGATTCGACAAAGAAAAAGAGAACAAGACCAAAAAAAGAACAACTTTCGAAGAACTTTCGAATGCGAGGAGATGGCGTCCTCCTCTGACTTCTTCAAGCCCATGCGTCGATGGAATCAATGTGCGTTGCTCCCTCGATCAAGTCCTTGCCGTGCATGTTTTGTTACGTGGGCCCGCTGTTTTGTTACGTGGGCCGTGAACGTTCCCGAACCTGTGAAACGGCTTGCTATGCTTTCCTGTCCCTCCCTCTTCCACCTCCCAGAAATCGACATGCCTTTATCCAGTCGCGAACATAAGTTGTCTTCGCCATGGATTCCTTCGAGGTTGCGCGACAGCCCCTCCCGCAGTCCTTGCCGGCAGAGGCCATCTCCATAGCGGGAAGTTGAACAGTCGCAACGCCTTCCGGAATTCGACTTGATCTCTGGTTCTCTGCCTCGCAGGTCAAAACAGGAGTTCTTAGCGCTGGAAGCCTCAGCACTGTCGCTGTCGTTTCTCGCGAGAGACGCTGAGGGCGAAGGAAGCCTCCACTCGCCTTCGGAACAGCAGGCCAGTGAGTAGAGCCGTGCCGGGCTGGCGGGCTGGCGGGGGGCTGGTGGGCTGGCGGGCTGGTGGCAGGCATTTGAGAAAGTGCACGTCAAAGGGTGACGTGTGGATGATGCCGCGATGGATCTCGTTGGGGTTCCAAGCTGCGAGTCAACGCTTGGAGAGTCAGTCTGCAAGCCAGAGTGTCCATGCAGCAGTCTGAAACAGTCAATGGCGCAGGAAGGGTTGGCAGCGATCAAGTTTTTTCATCAGAGCCAAGGCGTCCAAGTCAAACAATGACAGCTTGTTTTTAAGCAGCGTTCTTCCGCAGGAAATCGAGCATTGACTGGCTCATGCAAGACTCTCGTCCTAGGCAAGATGAACCTGGCCATTTCTCACCGACTGGGAACCCGAAGCACGATGTGCTGAAGCGGGAGATGGGGTTGCTTGCTGACCTTGGGGCACTGACAAATGAGGATCAAACCCCAGGGTTCTCAGAGACTCATCAGAACTTGCGGTACGTCGGCTCCACCCATCATAGCTCGAGTTGTGTGTGTGTGTGTGGAACAGGGGTTGGGGGGGGGGGTTGGGGTGGGGCAACATGATAGCGTTCATTGGCAGGAACTTCCTGGCCCGGAAGCTGTTTGGGGGTGTGTGGGGGGGGGGGAGCGACACAACAATGTTCATTGGCAGAAACAAGGCACCAGCCAAGTCCTCATGTGTGTGTTTGACCTCTTATTTACAGTACTTTCAGCACACGAGACTCTAAGAGACCTCATACCACCTCAGTGACTGCGCGCGGACTTAAACTGCGTTCATTGGCATGAACGAAAGAGGCCGGGATCAGTTGCAACTTGCTGCATTGAAAATGCACGGCCAGAATGCATGGGAGTGGATTCGCTCAGTCAGGCGTTCATTCAGGCGCTCTGGAAAGTATAGAAGACATCAACTGTCTGATTTCGCTGCGGAAACATGGCAAATCTGCAGGTTTTGGGCGGTGCTGTTGGTGTGAGACCTATGTTGAAACTCTTGTGCTCCAGTAGGGTTTTGATGCGCGTTGTCCATTGCAACTGATCCCGACCTCTCTCGTTCATGTAACACGCGGACATCCGCGGCGTAAGTCCGCGCGCAGTCACTGAAAAGGTGTGAGGTCTCTTAGTGTCTGACGTGTTCAAGCACATGTTGGGACTTGCTCATTCCTGGGAGAACCTGAGGGTGGGACCACAAAGCAGCATGTATGTCTTTAACGCAACGCAATGGAATGCAATGCAACGGAACACAATGCAATGTACTGTAAACGCAAGGTGATGTATGTGTGCGCGTGCGTGTGTGCCTTGCAGGACCCTCCGAGCTTCGCAGAAAAAGGCATCTTCTTGCAGGATGCAAAGGATTTGGCGGTGTCGTCAGCCTGCCAGGTTTCCAGATCAGGATTCTGTTTGGCTTGCACCCCGGTTGGCCAGGCGTATTCGTCAGACCGTGACGGGCAACCCGCTCTACACACGCATAGACAGCAACTCGGCCATGCAAACTGCGCTCTCAGACGTGCAAAGGCAAGGCATTGCCGTTGACTGCGCGGTGTCAGCCAAGGCTGACCACCGAGCTCAGATATCCAACTCCAGCTGCCACAATGCTGCCACCTGTCCAATCTTGTAGTCTTTATTGATTCTTGGGACCTTTCGTCGGAAAGCCGACGCCACGGGCCCCCTCTGGAATTCCCAAGGAATCCAATGGAGTTTGCGGCGACAACCATGTGAAACATGCTTGGCGTCGTCATACCAAGTGGGGAGCTTCTCCGGGAAGAACATGTCGGAGAGAACATGTCGGGAACGTATGCCGCCTAGCGACTCGCATGGGTCACTTCACGTGACTCCAAGCCTTTGTGGACTTCGGGTGTGCCTTCAAGCACTTGTTGCGTTGTTTCTAGCTGACTCGTGAGCCAATTCGCCCATTGGCGAGCGAACTAACATCGTGGCTATCTCGCTCTAAGTGGGAAATCATTCAAGTGTGATTCCAGCATTGTAGTCTGGGTTTTACAATGCGGGGATGTGCAGTGCAGGGCAGCTCTTTGGTCAAGTGAGTGAGCATGTGAATTTTGCCATTGCGCCTTGCTGTGAACTCTTGAGGGATCTGTCTTTTCCGGGGCTGCTTGACTGGTTTGGGCTCTTGCGCAGCCCATCTCGGCTTTGTCAAGAAGCAGCGCACGACCGTCGCAGGCACGACTGGCCTTGTGGTTTCCACACTCCAAACCGAAGCTCTTGAGGCCGAAGATACTGGCCCTGGGGTCACAGTGTAAGTGCAATAGCGAAATGCCTATTGGCATTTGGTCCAAGGGCATCGTGTGGATTTCCAGGCAATGGCTGAAGAGGAGGGAAGCTGGGATTCCACCTTGGATGAGTGGCTCATCAGCGAGGCGCCTCGCCCATCTCAAGACGCGACTGGTTCATGGTAATTCCATCTGGCTCCATTGCCTCCTGACTTTGAACATTTGATGTGCGGAAGAGAGATAATATCTCATGGCATGCCACGTAGCTTGGCAATCCAACGTTGCTTTCGCAGTGTTCCTGAACATTGCCGTGCTTCTCGACGCGTCAATGAAGCACCATGTTGAGAAACAGCTAGATATGTTGGAGGGTAACGTTAGCATGACGCATACCTCTCGAATCTGGTGAATAGAGTCAGCCAGCCTACAGTGTCCTCAGAAGGCTGAATCTGCGATGGCTGCGCATGTCCATGCCAACATGCAGGACATCAAAGGATACTGAACAAGATGCGGGCTTGGGTGAAGACCTGCTACGTCTTCATTGAATGTCTATTGTAAAGAGGTTCTTGAATCGACATTTATATCCCATCCCTTCTCTGCTGGAGCGTGTACGATGTCCTTTCTTCTGGCCAGGGCTTCTGCTATTCCGCTGGAATGGCTCAGCTGGAGGATGGAGCTTTCTACGCAGCAGCGCCAGAGAAGGACGAGGCACATGATTCGTTTGGCTCAGAGTGAGGCGGCAATCAGTGGACCGCCCTAAAACACGCGTGGCCACCCTTTTGATTCTTTGTGCGTAGTTTTGAATGCCAGGTGTTGTGGCTCACCGATGAATCTGGAAACTGCCAAGCAAGCGCTTTCCAGCGCAGGCTGGATGGGGTTTCATCTACAAGGAAGACCACGAGCAGATGATCACTCAGGAAGCAGAGCACTCAAAGGCGGCGTGTGAGCGCCGCAGCCAAATGCAACAAAGACCCAAGTAAGCCGATGCAGAGCTTTGCACCAAGGACATGACAGAAAAGAAAATGACCATCACTGAGGCATGAGTTTGTGGCATTGCGGGGTTGTGATGGGTTGTTCATCATGCCTTGAAGTGTGCGTGACCTACAAATGCTTTGCGCAGGCAACTTCCTTGAAGTATGTTGCCGACAATCTGAAGGCTCCTCCGACTGGACTGTGGCTGGGTGGTCAGACTCTTGACTGAGAACAGGCCAAACTTGAGTGAGGGCATTGCTTCAGATAACAATGATAGCACTACGACTGCGGCACAAGCGCTGAACACATGCTGCCTCTGCGTTCCAGGGGTTATCTTGTCTGCAAGCTGCATCACGAGTGCGTCAGCCATTTGCCGAGGAAGTACTCGGTCACGCGTGTTGAGAAAGAATTCCAGGTCAACGAAACGACGTACCTTGACAGCAACCGAGTTTGTGTTGGCTCAGATTGTTGCAGCAAAGTGTGCATGCTGGAAGTTGCTTGCATTGATGATGCAAGGTTCACTTACATCTTTGCGAACAGGCCTAAGAAGGCCATGATATCCCTGCCCAATTTGTGCCCAGCGCGAGCTGCCAAGCCCAAGTGAAGCTATTGCTTCGCAGGCTTCGACATCTGGATTGATTGCAATGTGTGCTGCAGGGCGTTGCGATCGGCATCACCAACTCCCAGATCATTTGTGCGTTTTACGACGATGCCTTGCAGCAATTCAGCCTGTCGCCTCACCTGTTGCACCCGGCGCGCTGCTTTCTTTTCACATCTGAGGAGGAGAAGGGTCAAACGGCCGGCAATTGCACCAAGGCGCGCAGCTTTTGCTAGGGGGGGGGGGCAAGGGAGGTTTTTATGGCAGACAGTGAGACACTAGTCCAAGAGTCCAAGACTGGCAGCGAGACCCCTCGGGCCGCAGACAAGAGTGAAGAGCTATCAGATGAAGCCGTTGGGAGTTGCAGGTGCTGGCGGCGTTCGCTGAATGGATGAAGAACACAGGCTACTGAGGCTTGCGCTGTCGCACGTCAGTGAGATGGTGGGATATGGAGCTGTCAAACAAGCCACTGCAGACTGGCTACCAAGAGAATCGTTTGACTGTGGTACGTGCCCTAACAGACGTTTCCATTCTGAAATCACCGCTTCTCCCCATTGGCATGGTTGTGAAAGAGATGAACGTGCAGATGAACAATTGATTTCGAGGATACTTTAGAGCCTCCGGCTCAGTCCGCCGACATTGTCCTCTCCCTTTTCTCCTTCTTCCTCTCTTCCTTGTCTCCCTTGTGTGTTCTGTCGTCCTCTCTCCCTCCCTCTGCTCCCATCCTCCCCATCCCCCCAAGCCTCTCTCTCCCCACTCTCCCTCTCTCGTATGTATGCATGCATGTACAATGTATGTATGTATGTATGTATGTATGTATGTATGTATGTATGTATGTATGTATGTATGTATGTATGTATGTATGTATGTATGTATGTATGTATGTATGTATGTATGTATGTAATGTATGTGTATGTATGTATGTATGTATGTATGTATGTATGTATGTATGTATGTATGTATGTATGTATGTGTATGTATGTATGTATGTATGTATGTATGTATGTATGTATGTATGTGTATGTATGTATGTATGTATGTATGTATGTATGTATGTATGTATGTAATGTATGTATGTATGTATGTATGTATGTATGTATGTATGTATGTATGTATGTATGTATGTATGTATGTATGTATGTATGTATGTATGTATGTATGTATGTATGTATGTATGTATGTATGTATGTATGTATGTATGTATGTATGTATGTATGTATGTATGTATGTATGTATGTATGTATGTATGTATGTATGTATGTATGTATGTATGTATGTATGTATGTATGTATGTATGTATGTATGTATGTATGTATGTATGTATGTATGTATGTATGTATGTATGTATGTATGTATGTATGTATGTATGTATGTATGTATGTATGTATGTATGTATGTATGTATGTATGTATGTATGTATGTATGTATGTATGTATGTATGTATGTATGTATGTATGTATGTATGTATGTATGTATGTATGTATGTATGTATGTATGTATGTATGTATGTATGTATGTATGTATGTATGTATGTATGTATGTATGTATGTATGTAATGTATGTATGTATGTATGTATGTATGTATGTATGTATGTATGTATGTAATGTATGTATGTATGTATGTATGTATGTATGTATGTATGTATGTATGTATGTATGTATGTATGTATGTATGTATGTATGTATGTATGTATGTATGTATGTATGTATGTATGTATGTATGTATGTATGTATGTATGTATGTATGTATGTATGTATGTATGTATGTATGTATGTATGTATGTATGTATGTATGTATGTATGTATGTATGTATGTATGTATGTATGTATGTATGTATGTATGTATGTATGTATGTATGTATGTATGTATGTATGTATGTATGTATGTATGTATGTATGTATGTATGTATGTATGTATGTATGTATGTATGTATGTATGTATGTATGTATGTATGTATGTATGTATGTATGTATGTATGTATGTATGTATGTATGTATGTAATGTATGTATGTATGTATGTATGTATGTATGTATGTATGTATGTATGTATGTATGTATGTATGTATGTATGTATGTATGTATGTATGTGTATGTATGTATGTATGTATGTATGTATGTATGTATGTATGTATGTATGTATGTATGTATGTATGTATGTATGTATGTATGTATGTATGTATGTATGTATGTATGTATGTATGTATGTATGTATGTATGTATGTATGTATGTATGTATGTATGTATGTATGTATGTATGTATGTATGTATGTATGTATGTATGTATGTATGTATGTATGTAAGTAAGTAAGTAAGTAAGTAAGTAAGTAAGTAAGTAAGTAAGTAAGTAAGTAAGTAATGTAATGTATGTAATGTATGTACGTATGTATGTATGTGTGCATGCATGCATGCATGCATGCATGTATATATGTATGCATGTATGTATGTAATGTATGTATGTATGTAATGTCATGTGTCATGTAATGTAATGTAATGTAATGTACTGTAATGTATGTATGTATGTATATCCTTGCACTTCCCCTTTGCTCCCCAGTATTTCCCGCAAAAAAAACACGGTTTTTCCAGCGTTTTCGCAAAGAGGACGTCCAAAAACATCGAGTTTTTCCAGATTTTCGGCAAAAGGATGCAGGAAGCCCAAGCCAGCAAAAAAGCCGGCAGGGGGAATCGAGCCTGGGACCCCTGTTTTGCGACACCGGCTCCCCGAAGACTACGTTTAGTGGAACGTCATCAAATTGCCGCGCGGTACGTGGGGGACCCCCCCCCCCCCAAAAACCTACGTAATAGACGTCGGGCGGGGGGGGGGTTAGGGGGGGGGTTATCCTCTATCCTCTAGTAAGTATCCGACACGCCGAGCAATGTCGGCGGATTTTTCTACACTCCGCTGGCATCTCGGCATGGTGAGTGGCCGCTGTCCCTGCTGGTTTCGTCAGTGCCTACATTCGGTGCTGTGAGAACTCGGTTGCATTGGCGTAGCGGGCAGGAGCTGCTTAGCCGGCACGGCACCTGTGTTTACGCTGACATGTAAACTGTGCAAGCACTTAGCGTTGCTTGATTGCTTGAAACACACTGAGCTCTTGCTCAAGGCCAATCAGGTCCAGCGTAAGAGTTGTCGGATCCGCCTTTTGCTCAGCTGCCACTCTCGGAGCCGAATGCCGGGCACGCGCGAAAAGAGCAAGGGATGGGCGGGACTTGCGGTGAGAGCTCAGGCTGAAGAGGGGGGTTTTGGGAATCGTTGAAGGGTGAGTGACAGGGAAGTCCGGGAGTGACAGAAAGAGTGCCCACTCCACGTGTTGTAGCCGTTTTGCGCCGCTGGCAGTTCTAAGCTTTGCATTTGGCATACTGATATTTTTCTGCTATCCTCATTTCACGAGGCAAAACGTTGATTGCTGCAGCTTTTCAAGAACTTGCCTGATCGCGTAGAGATTCGCATGACACCATGCATGTTTCTGCAAGTATCCGGTTCTGCTCCATGTTTTTGCGGAATGCGCAAGTAAGCAGGCACATTATGCACATTGCAGATTTGAATGCAGACAAGTCAGGCAGCAAGCATGGCCAAGAGAATGCTTGTCTGCTTTCCTTTGCAGGGGGAACCCTGCAAGAGCCAATGGAGATCTCTCCTTCTCGTGATCGGCTGGCACAATTACGCGTTTTTGTGTGATGCTAAATGTGTGTGATTGTTTATTTTCTGGGGCCTCTAGCCGGCTACGCCTCTTTGAAGTTATACCATGTCATGTCATGTTTTTTGCATGAGAAACGTAGCGTGTGCTATGATATGGCTGCATGTTGCCCACCTTAACCCCAGATAATGCCGGGGATGCCGGCTTTCTGGGCCCCATCCGGGCCCCAACCCAGAAGGCTGACATGGGGTCGCGCGCCAGAGGACCCAAAAAAAGCAGCCCAAAAAGAGCAGCCCGCAAACCAGGCCGGAAACGCAAATGCAACAAAACACCCTAAATAGCAGCGTTTTGTGGCTGGGGTCGCGCGTGCGCGCGCGCGCGCGCCAGAAGGCCGGAAAACGAACACAAAAAAAAGCAAGGACCGCGCAGTACGCGAGCCAGCCACAAAACGGACAGAACAACAGCCCAACGCTCAGCGCAGCAGTTTTGGGCGGTATTTACAGTTTTGTAGAGCGAGGGCCCAGCATCGCCGGCATGCCCGGCAGCGCTTGGCGCCAAAATGCGCAAAAAGGAGCCTCGCTTGCACCCCTCCGATACCTACTTAAAAACAGTGCTTTTTGGGTGGAGAGGCTTTTTGGAAGGAAGTCTTGATGATGCAGACCAAGCCCCGCTGAAGCATCACCCAGGCCCAACCCCAGACATATACGCGATGTTTCGCGAGGGTTTCCCACAGTCAAGCAAAACCGCAAGCCCGAGCTGGTGATGCAGAGGTGCCGGATTTAGGCCGCGCATCACGACCAAGTGGCAAGGGTCGGCGGCACCAGGGTGCAGCCCCTATAGCTAAAGCTAGCAGGCTAATTGCCTAGCGGCGACATGCTACCCCAAGGAGGCGTAGCCGGATTTACGTTGCTGACGCACCACCGGCCGCACCGGCAGCCTCAGTGTACTGCAATCTGTTCGAATCACGGGGCAACTTGCGCAGGGCACGTTTGCGGAAGGAAGCAGGCCCATAAGCGTGTGGCAAAAAACATCTACTGTCACAACACACACTGACATCAACTCAACACACACACACACACTCACTCACTCGCTCACTCGCTCGCTCACTCACTCACTCACTCACCCACCCACCCACTCACTCACTCAGTCACTCACTCACTCACTCACTCACTCACTCACTCACTCACTCACTCACTCACTCACTCACTCACTCACTCACTCACTCACTCACTCACTCACTCGTATTTTGAGACACTTCGCTGTAGGCAATGCCGGGTTTGGCGGGGGCCAGTGAAGCCTCACCAATAAGCAGGTTTCCGCAAACAACTTATGTTTTTCACGCTTTCCGAGGCCTTGCGCCCACGCGAAAGTGTCAAAAACACAGTGTTTTGCTCATGTCTTGAGCGAAAACCATGCCCAAAACCGAGCTTAGATGGCGATCACTAAAGCCTCACTGTTAAGCAGGTTTCCACATTTTGCGCCTTTCCAGCCGTCAAAAACGTAGAAAAGCACAGTGTTTTCCAGTGTTTGCAAAACTGGGCCCAAGTTGGGGCCCGTGCTCGGGGGGGAATGCCCCCAAGAGCCGAATTGTGTTTCTTGAGCCTGCCGGCCCACTATGGGCTGATACATATTGGGGAAAGGAGGGGTAAGGGGAGGGGTAAACTCCCCAGCGGGTGGGAGGGATTTACGTTGCTGACGCACCACCGGCCGCCCGGCAGCCTCAGTTTACTGCAATCTGTTCGAAGCACGGGGCAACTTGCGCGAGGCACGTTTGCGGAAGGAAGCAGGCCCATAAGCGTGTGGCAAAAAACATCTACTAAGATGGCAGGTAGTGCGCAGTAGTAACGCCGCAACACACTCTGACATCAACTCAACACACACACACACACTCACTCGCTCGCTCGCTCGCTCGCTCACTCACTCACTCACTCACTCCCTCCCTCCCTCACTCACTCACTCACTCACTCACTCACTCACTCACTCACTCGTATTTCAAGACACCCTTCGCCCCCTTCGGGGGGCGCGACCACCGGCCGCGCTGGCAGCCTCAGTTTACTGCAATCTGTTCGAAGCACGGGGCAACTTGCGCGAGGCACGTTTGCGGAAGGAAGCAGGCCCACAAGCGTGTGGCAAAAAACATCTACTAAGATGGCAGGTAGTGCACAGTAGTAACGCCACAACACACACTGACATCAACTCAACACACACACACTCACTCACTCACTCACTCGCTCGCTCGCTCACTCACACTCACTCACTCACTCACTCACTCACTCACACAATCACTCACTCACTCACTCACTCACTCACTCACTCACTCACTCACTCACTCACTCACTCACTCACTCACTCACTCACTCACTCACTCACTCACTCACTCACTCACTCACTCACTCACTCACTCACTCACTCACTCACTCACTCACTCACTCACTCACTCACTCACTCACTCACTCACTCACTCACTCACTCACTCACTCACTCACTCACTCACTCACTCACTCACTCACTCACTCACTCACTCACTCACTCACTCACTCACTCACTCACTCACTCACTCACTCACTCACTCACTCACTCACTCACTCACTCACTCACTCACTCACTCACTCACTCACTCACTCACTCACTCACTCTCGAGACACTTCGCTGTAGGCGATGCAATCTCCAAAGCCGGGTTTGGCGGGGGCCAGTGAAGCCTCACCAATAAGCAGGTTTCCGCAAAAAACTTATGTTTTTCACGCTTTCCGAGGCCTTGCGTCCACGCATCTTCTGCATCTCAAATCGGCCCTAACAGGACTGATGATGATGATCATGATGTTGATGATGATGATGATGATGATGAACTGACATGATAATCATCATGACGCATCCTCAGCATCAGTCATCAAGATAATCATGTCCACGCATCTTCTGCGTCTCAAATCGGCTCTAACGAGACTGATGATGATGGTCATGATGAGCATCGTGATGATGATGATGATGAACTGAGATGGTGGTCATTATCGTCATCATCATCATCATTGTCATCATCATCATCGTCATCATCGTCATCAGCATCGTCATCATCATTGTCATCATCATGGATGATAACCATCGTCGTGCATCCTCTGCGTCACCAGCAGTCATGATGATAATCATGTCTACGCATCCTCTGCATGTCCAATCAGGTCACAACGATGATGATGCGATGATGGCGAGCATGTCATCATCACCATGATGGTGGTCATTGTTATCGTCATGGTCATCATCATCATCGTCATCATCATCATCGTCATCATCGTCATCATCATCGTCATCATCATCGTCATCATCGTGGATGATAACCATCATCGTGCATCCTCTGCATCACCAGCAGTCATGATGATAATCAGGTCTATGCATCCTCTGCATCTCCAATCAGGTCGCAACGATGATGATGTGATGACGATGAGCATGTCATCATCACCATGATGGTGGTCATCATCGTCATCATCATCATCGTCATCATCATCATCGTCGTCACCACCATCATCGTCATCCTCGTCATCAGCATCGTCATCATCATCGTCATGGTCGTCGATGATAACCATCATCGTGCATGCTCTGCATCGCCAGCAGTCATGATGATAATCGTGATAACCATCATCGTGCATCCTCTGCATCACCAGCAGTCATCGTGATAATGCGCTTTGATTGGCACGCTTCCATAGAACCTGCGCCCATTCTGGAGCGATCGTTTTCTTTCCTTGGCTTGGTGCATTTTTGTAATAATCTGGTAAGAAAATGCGCCGCTGTAAGTGCCTACAATTCTGCTGCTGCTGGGAGCATGTGCCGTGACGTTGCGTTTGCAGTAGAGGCTCATCGCCGGTCACCCCGCAAGCCAACCAGCTTTCTCGCCGCAAGTCGGGGCCGCGATGGGTCTCTATTGTAGCTAGGGTGCGGTGCATTTTTGCTTTGCTTTCGCGTGAAAATGCACCGCTTTTATCATGATGATGATGCTGAACTGACATGATAATCATCATGACGCATCCTCAGCATCAGTCATCATGATAATCATGTCCACGCATCTTCTGCATCTCAAATCGGCTCTAACGGGACTGATGGTGATGATCATGATGAGCACCGTGGTGATGATGATGATGATGATGAACTGAGATGGTGGTCATTATCGTCATCATCATCATCATTGTCATCATCATCATCGTCATCATCGCCATCATCATCGTCATCATCATCGTCATCATCATGGACAATAACCATCATCGTGCATCCTCTGCATCACCAGCAGCCATGATGATAATCATGTCTACGCATCCTCTGCATCTCCAACCGGGTCACAACGATGATGATGTGATGATGATGAGCCTGTCATCATCACCATGATGGTGGTCATTATCGTCATCGTCATCATCATCATCGTCATCATCATCATCTTCATCATCGTCATCATCATCGTCATCATCATTGTCATCATTGTGGATGATAACCATCATCG